AGAAACAGCAACACAAATTATTCTTTTGTTTACTCTCTACACAAGTGCTGGAATAATCTTGCCAATGTAAAAGACACGATGTTGCACAACATTAATCAGATTCCTTCAGCTCCAGTGCTGCTCCACATTTCTCAGTCTGAACATACAGTGCACACCCCTGCTTTGCTTTTATGCTACCACTGGTATCGTGCACCACACCACTTTAGATCAGTGTTATTCTGAACCCTGCTCTTATTCCAAAGCATCTCTAAGGCTGCTATTAAAAGGCTGGATATACCACTGGATATCACTTTCCATTTGGAGGACTTCAGCCCATCTCTGGTGACTGTAGGGAATAAGTGGTCGTGAGCTTCCGCTGTCCTCGTGGCAAAGAGAGAAAGGGAGAGACAAAGAGAGGGGAGAAATCTAATTATTTCTCTCCCATGGCCCAGCAAGCCTTAAAGGTTAATCACTGTCCGTTGAGCTAATTCTGTCTGGGTACACTGCAGTAATTACAACACCTGTCTCTCGCTCTCCCTCTCCTGCTTCCTCTAATGCCTTATTCTGTCTGTTTGTCTATCTGTGTGTCTGTCTGTGTCTCTGTCTGCGTCAGTATTTAGACAAGGGCATAACTGTTCTAATTTGGCGTCTGTACACCACTACAGTGGACTTCAAATTAGGCAATTAAGATATGATTAAACCGCAGACGTGTCAAGTTCAAGACAACACTTCTTACAGCACAACAAAAAAAGCTCAGGCAACAGGACAAACAGCCTCAGGTGTTGACCCGGCTTCCAACCTCTTAATATCTCAGTCGAATGAAGTATATATTTGACAGACATAAACCGATAGAGAGCGGCATGGTGGTTAACACAGTCGCCTCCTGAAGGTCCTGGGTCTGAAACCGCTCCCCAGCTGGGGCCTTTCTGTTTGCATTTTGTCACTTGGTTTCTTTCCAGGTACTCCAGGCCTCCTCCTGCAGTCCAAATATATACACGGGGTTAGGTTAAATGGTGAGTCTAAATTGACCGTAGGTGTGAATGTGAGCATGAATTGCCTGTCTCTATGTGTTAGTCCTGTGACAGACTGGAAAACTGTCTGGGCGGTATTCCGCCTCGCATCCTATGACAGCTAGGATAAGCTGCAGCCCAACCGTGACACTGAACTGAAGTGGATAGAGAGATGTGTTTATATAGGTACAGAGAGAGAGATGCATTCATATCTTGCATCACATCTCTAAGTGAGGAGGGTTTCCTTTTCTCACCCACTCTCTTTCTCACATTCCTCACTCATTCTTTCTTCTCACCGCCTTTTCTCTCTCATCCTACCTTCTCGTCACCTACTGTCTCACTCCCTCCCCACTACTCTCAACGCTTCTCTTCCACCTCCTTTCTAACTCTTCATTATCTCAACAGCACTCAACCACTGTCTCTTTCTCACCTAATTTCTCTCTGTCACTGGCTCGGCTTCTAACTGTGTACAGCTGTATCTCACTTTAGCAACAGCTGAAGGAACTTCGCCCAGGGCCTAGAAATACTGCACCATCTCTTCTCCTTCCACTTTTTTCCCCTTTACTACCAAAAGTATGTCCAGAAGCAACAGCTTAAGAGTACCTCTCACTTCCCACCAAAGTTCAGTGATATAAAGTGCCTTGGATGCACCGCCTATGACTGCTGAATAGAAGTTGAAGCATGACCGGTGTTCTTGATATTACTGTGAATAAAAAGTGCTTATGCATACTTTAGAAAACTGCTAATTTATGCTTAGTAGACCTTAGAAGACCCTATTCTTATTAATTTCTTATCACACTGCCATACACAAAAAGACGTTTTCTACATCCCCTTTCATCCTCTACTTCTTCTTTCTGATTCCAGATTTCCTACAGTTATCAAATTAGTATTTTTGGTCGTTCTGTTTTTTCTCCCTGAGGCCCAGATAGGCTTCTCTAACAGGCTGCTCCCTGCTGAAGCCAGTGGCCTGATGCTGCTGAGGCTGGTGGGCTGTCATTCCCCATATCATCAATACAAAACAGAGAGGAATGAGAGAGAGAGTGAAAAAAAAGAAGAAGACTGGGGAAGATGAGACACAAATCGTGACAAAGAAGCTAAGAGTAGCCCTTAGCAAAGTGTCATCACTCAGACAATCTCCTTCCTTTCCACTCTGTCTTTACGTTTTCTACGTGCTAAGGGACCAAAACAGAAGCGGGGGACAGTGCCAGCTTTATCACATTCCAAATGTTTTCCAAGAATTTTGCGAAGTGACAAAGATCCCTAGAATTTGTTTCTTGGCCCCTGAGGCGAAGCTCTGCTTGAGAGTCTGTGCAGATGGGTGCTGATGGAAGCAGTGGTGATGAGGAGTGCTGCTGGTAGCTGGTGGAGGGAAGCTAGAATTGCTGAGAAAGAGACGAGGGATGCTGAGAATTCACAGGGTGAGGAGGAGAGAGCGAGAGGGGAGAAGATGGAAAACAACAGCACCTGGCTGGCTGTTATGCCTTCGCCAAGGAAAGAGTGGAGGCGGATGTATGTTTCCAGTGATGTTTATTTGTTTCTCTGTGTGTTTGTTTGTCTGCAGGATTAAGTAAAAACTACTTAGTCGAATTTGATGAAACTTGTTAAAAAGGCGGGGTTAGAGCAACAGACAAACCCAATCATTTTGGATCATTTTAGAATGTATTGAAGAATGTATTGTGGAAAGTCAGTTGAATGGTCTGTCGAAAGCAAAAAATGAGACTGAAGGACAAAGTGCATTTACGTATCCTTGTGCATGAACATAAATGGAGGAAAATGGTGAGCTTTTTGTAAGGCTGTTTGCCACACTTCTCAGTTTCTTCCGTCTGTTTCATGTAATCCCCAGAGACTGTATATAAAAGAAAGCCATAACCACCATGAAGAGCCACTGGTCTGAGCTTTGATGCGCCAACATTAGCATTTTCGAAGCCAGATGGAGTGCTAAGTAATCAGCAATTAACTGCACAATGAGCTGTATTATTTGTCATATAACTGCATTCAAATTATGCATTTGCGGATGACATGTACCATTATCCACTTCAAGAGTGCATCAACAAGGACACAGATTAAACCAGAACGACATGTAAAGGACTGCAAGCCTCACTTGTCTCAATTAAAGTCAGAGTTCATGATTCAAGAATAAGATAGACAATGGGCAAAAATGGCATCCACATGAGAGATCCAAGGAGAAAACACTGACTAATAAGAACACAAAAGCTTGTCTCCCATTTGCCAAAAAAGCATCCTGATGATTCCCAAGACTTTTGGGAAAATATTCTGTGGACTGACGGGACAAAAGATGGACTTTTTGTGTGCTGTTGCATCTGGTGTAAAACTAATACAGCAGTTCATATAATGAACATTATAGCAACCGTCAAATACAGTGGTGCTAGTGTGATAGTCTGACACTGTTTTGCTGCTTCTGGACCTGAATGACTAGCTATAATTGATGGAACCATGAAATCTGCTTTCTGCGAGAAAATCCTGAAGGAGAACATCCGGCCATCAGTTTGTGCCCTAAAGCTCAAGCACACTCATTATTATGCAGCGGAACAATGATCTGAAACAGGTCAGGAAGTCCACCTCTGAATGGCTCCAAAAAGAACAAAACACAAAAAACAAAATGAAACTTTTGGAGTAGCCAAAACAAAATCTAAACTTAAATCCCTCTGAGCTGCTTTGGCATGACCTAAATGTGGAGTCGTCATTTTTATACCCGCTGTATTGCTCCTATACTGCATATTTCTAAAGTGTGTTTGTTAACAGTCCATTTACTGCTACATGCATTGAGAGTAAGCTAACGCAGGTAAAGTAAGACAAAAACAGTTAAACCTTGGCTGTCAAAGTTATTAGAGAAAGCAATATGTTTAGTAGTTAAAACAGTCGAAGTTCAATGTTACTTCTTAAGAACATATTCTGAATTCAGACAGCTCTACAGTATGCAGATAAACTGTCCACTTACAATTAAAATCATTCCTTTTCCTTTAGTGTTAATAAACTCAACATATTGCTTGCAAAACTGAAGGTATTTTGTTCTTCTGTCAGCACACGAGCATTGATCCTATGCCTGTGCTTGCGTTGGAGTGTAGCAGCACCCACACATATTGCTGAGATGAATGTCTGGCATACAGGTAGACTCTTTATAGCTATTCTGAAATGTTTTGTCAAACAACCTTACAGTGTAACCATATAAGTTATCACAGCCTGACCTGTGTAGGCAGGTAAAGTCGTAAATCTTAAAAGGCAGCGACATCTGTGCGCATCTCTCTTTAGAGCCGTACATGCTGTAAGCGTAGTTAATATATTTTTAAAGATGCAAAGCATATATAACGTTCCAGAGAAGCTTGCGAAAATCGCACCGTCTTAAAGGGTTTTACACGCTGATGTTGCATCTGGCCTTAAAGAGATATATACACTTATCATGCTCCACCAGGTAAATGTGGAGCAGGATAGCTCTAAACTACGCCTTTAACATCAACAAGTCATCATGTTTACCACTCTGAGCTGCCTGTGATCACAGTACACCAAAAGATACCAAAAGAAACAATTTGTGCATGACTCTCTCAGTTGCATAATCATTTATGATTCACCACTTCCTGCAGGCTTTAAAACATGCAGTGATTGCCATGACTACAGATGGCATGTGCATAAATGCTGCACATTAAATGATTTGAATATTTATCAAAATGTGACATGCTGGGTTTATTGAGAAGAATTTTACATTGCTGACAGGCAGATAAAATATGTGCACTTAAAACCTAGATGCTGATGAAGATTGACAGCATTATGGTCCACAACATACATACATACACTGTGTGCAAAGGGTTCTGCTTAGAAGACCCAGCCACAGGGAGGCCAGTGAAATCCTAGTGCCAGAACCAAGCCTGGATAAAGGGGACGGGTTGGGTTGAAAGATTCATGGATGTAGTGAAGGAGGATATGCAGAGGGTTGATGTTTGAGAGGATGCTAGGGATGGAATGAAATACAGGCAGATGAAGAAGAACATGTTCTGCCTAAAAGTTACCTTGTGTGAGAAGTTGAAGAGTCCGGACTTCCTCCCGGACACGAAGCTGCAGGACCTGTTGCAGGATGTGCTGCCTCTGCGCTTCCTGCATGATGCCCATTCGTTCCAGCTTTCTGTCCGTCAATCTCATCAGAGCCCGCCCTGAACAAAACACGCAAAATGAACCTGAAGGTTAAAGATCAGATGCCAGGGTGAAATTTAACATGCACAGCTGGAGACACTCCAAAAAGGGCTACCGATAACGTATTCGTGCCCGTGGAAGAGCAGAGTGTCAACGGCATTCAAGTGCAAATTCCTAAAGCTGTTCATGGACGAAATTTTCCTTTATAAAAGCATAAAGAGAAACAGTTTTACGACTCGTTCTTTTTTATGTGACCGTCACTTAGCCTGAAATTTCCAATTAAGCCCAGTGCAACTCCCTGCAAAGCAGATTCGTCTCTGCATAAATATCAGTACTGTGTATCCCTTGAGCAAGGATCCCTCACAGCTCTTTCCTTAATTGCAAATCCTTGTATAAAAATTCATAATTTAATCATGCAATCAGTTTGTATGAAGGGGATTTAGGCTGCTGATAAAAAGCCATGCAGAATATGGTGTAATTATTAACGCTTGTTATGAGTGCCTTTGTAACATGTGGGATGGTAAGCAGATAGGATAATAATGCAGAGCAATTACTAGGCATTAAAGTTCGTCCCCAGCAGCTCCCTTTCCTCTTTCGCCCTGATGGCTGTCTGGACAAGAAAATCTGATTGGTTTGACTGCCAAGAGAGTAGCTCGGTCCTGAAAGCGTCCTGAAAGCCTCATGGATGCTGGATTCATATATTCGTCCCCATCTTCTTTTTGTTCTTGTTTCCTCTGTTCCACGGCTATTTGTGGTTTGATCAACAACAATCAAATGCAAAGGCTCAATAATAAAGATTTAATATAAAAATGTTTGCTTTTATTCAAATCCAGCCTGCCAGCAAAAAAAAGGCAGACTTTACAATTTCATGTCTCTTGACTTTCTTGGACTATCTGTTGTAGATTGTTTGGGCATGCCGAGCCCCATGCTACCTCTTTGCTACCACAGCACAAAAGGGAGTTTGCTTGGAAAGCTAAGTACTCTTAAGTGTTATCGGTAAAATGTTGACTGTCTTAGGCCAATTTTCTTCTGCCTTAACAAAAGAAGCTCTTGACTCTGCCCTACGGCCAGATGGGGGTAAAATGCCTAACATAGTTAAGGCACCTCAACTTAGAGTCACATTGAAAGACTGTAGACATTACAAAAACACTGGGGAACTAAGTAGAGTCATAAAGACTCAGAAGTAAGAGGAGCATATTAAATGGGAAGATGGAAAGACGAAGATTACTGATGCGAAAAAAGAGAGTGGAATCGGAGGCTGAGAGTGGAAAGTCGGGAAAGAAAAGTGAGACGTACAAACTGACAGAATGAAGAAAAAAAAAAAAGGATGCGCACATAAAGCATGCTGTTATGAGTCTATAAATATTAACCAGCCATCACTTGGCACCTGATCTTGTAACTCAAGATAGATTGGCATGGCAACAGAGGTTTGCTTTTTCTGTGCTTCTGTAAAGTCTACCTTAAACAACAGCAGAAACAACAAAGAAAACACTTTACATGCACTGGATAATAATGCATGCTTAGAATCTTGATATGTTATTATTATCATCTTGATATTAGGAATTTGGAAAATTAAAATAAAACTATAGAGCACTTGTGTCAAACTCCAGTCAACTTTTAAATGTGTCCCTGCTGCAACACACATGAATAAGATTAGTAGGCCATTAGCAAGACTCTATAGACTGCATGCTGAGGTGGCAACCCCTAAGCCTACTGAAGTAAATGTAAATAAATGGAAGTAAATGCAAGTGTTTGGAAAAATGTACTTTTATTGGACCATGTTGATTCGCTTCGCTTCATTGCAACATGAATCAAATTGCTGAATGCCACCTCAGCTTTAAAGTTTCAGGACACCGGCTCTCGAGGACTGGAGTTTGACACCCCTGCTATAGAGAAACCCCCCTTTGCTTTAGTATTTATTACTTTACTAAAATTTGTTATCACAACCTCCCTATTGAAGCTTTGATGGGCATCTTTATTGAGACTCAGGATATCTACAAGACTGCTTTAAAAACTCACTTGTGTTACTTACTGTAATACCGACACTAATAGTTTCCTAAAGCAATACTGGCAATACTTAAAAAGACTGAAACTAGCAGTGAAACTAATAAAAACTAAACTACAATGAAACATTTTTCAAACAATAAAAACTGGAAACACTCTGGAAAAAAAATTAATTAAAAACAAAAAGTCAAAACAAACAAACAAACAACAAAAATAAAAACGAATAAAGAAAAATAGAAGTATAATAACTACGTTCTCCGCAACTCTAGTACCCACCCGTCATTATTTATTTGCCCACACATTGTGTGATCACCACAGACAGAAGATTAGGATACTTAAAAGAATCAAGGTAAGCTAAACCTCATATATCTTATTTCAGGTCAATAAGTTTAAGGAAGAACTTTCATTCAACCATATGTTCTTACTTTGTAACATTCCCTTGCTTTCACCTGTTTGTGTGCCAGCTGAGGCTCTTAGTGTACAATCTGAAGGGCAGGCTTACAGTCTTTTCCTCTGTTGCCATTATTGTGTGCTGAAACTGCTCTCATTGGACCCTGACATTACTTTGTTTGTAGATGGCTTGTGACTCATATGGCATAGTAAGTGGACCTTGGCATGATGTTTTTAAATGTCTTTTTCCTCTTCTTTCTCTACAATCACCATCGCGGATGAATGATTCACCCGCTGAAGCCAGTCCAACATATAAGCTGAACAGTTACGTGATAATTGGTTTTGATCTCTTCCACCCAGACTTTCCCTGTTTGCTTATCCTAAGGACAGCTTCAACCCTTATTTATCTTTACTCCCAGATTTTTTAAAATTATTATTCGATTGTAATTTTAACAGATTTTTATCATGAGACATGACAACAACATGCACTGTATTGTATGCAGATATTTCCCCCCATTGTTCTTTGTAGAACTCAGAACTCCTAAATTGATTCTACTTTAAAACTTTTGAATATAGCGATTTGTAGTGTGTCACTTTGAAGCCAATAGCCTGTCACTTGCATATGCCTGTTGCTTTGGTTGCCTAGGTAACTCTCTAATGTACAGGGTGGGCCATTTATATGGATACACCGTAATAACATGGGAATGGTTGGTGATATTAAAGTCCTGTTTGTGGTACATTAGTACATGTGAGGGGGCAAACTCCTCAAGATGGGTGGTGACCATGGTGGCCATTTAGAAGTCGGCCATCTTGGATACAACTTTTGTTTTTTTCCAATAGGAAGAGGGCCATGTGACACATCAAACTTATTGGTAATGTCACAGGAAAAACAATGGTGTGCTTGGTTTCAATGTAATTTTATTCTTTCATGAGTTATTTACAAGTTTCTCTGTGTTCACAGCCATTGACATGTCAAAGAGGTTAACACGTGAGGAGCGGATTGAAATTGTGTTGATATCTGGTGAACGCAGTAACCGGGTCATTGCAGCAGATTTCAATGCAAGACACCCTACGAGCACACCATTGTTTTTCTTGTGACATTACCAATAAGTTTGATGTGTCACATGGCCCTCATTCTATTGAAAAAACAAAAGTTGTATCCAAGATGGCCGACTTCTAAATGGCCACCATGGTCACCACCCATCTTGAGGAGTTTGCCCCCTCACATGTACTAATGTACCACAAACAGGACTTTAATATCACCAAACATTCCCATTTTATTACCACCCTGTATTTCAAGTCACATGTCAATCAGAGGCATGCTGTCCCATCATCTGCAGTCACTTCAGTCTCCCACCTTGAGTTTATCTCTGGACCCCCCATTTGGTTAATTCACCCGTAGTCGCCTGAAATTGCTCTGTGTCTTTAGCTTTCAACTTTGCTGTAAATCACTTCCAGTCTGAACATCTTGTTAAATGGAAAAGGTGCAGGATTGAACTCCCCTCCTTCTAGAAACTTAAAGTGTAAATTCAACCATAAGCTGCACAGTTGCAATTTGAGTAAAAGTCGAGCTTTTTATAATCTCACAAGTCTAGTGGAATATTGTGAATGCCTGCAACATGACAAGCTCTGCAATTATCATGAACAAGCTGCCAGTTCTCAGCGGTGAATGCCAACGCGCCGCTTCTTCCGGTCAGTGAGGCAGCATTAGCGGGGTGGAACAGCTTCTGTAAGGCATCCAGGCTTTCACTCTGCTTTCCCGCAGTTCTGAGCCATTTGCTTTGACAATCCCACCAAGACTCAGCTGGGAGTTTTTCATACCACAATTAATACACTGTGCACTGTAGCGTGGTCGTGAGGAGAGGAAGAGGAGGAGAAGGAGGAGGTGGACAGCAGAGGAAATTGGTCAAGAGGAAATAAATGAGGTAAGGGGAGGAGAAGATTTAAGAAAGGCTGAACGTAAGGAAGCGAAAGAAAAACAGTGAATCAGCAGTAAAAGGCCCCAGAAATGCAGAGGTGAGAAGAAAAATGAGAAAGGGCCTGGGCTGTGTGGACAGTGGTGCGAACGAAATATTATGTCGGCCTGGTGTTCTGCTGCTTGGCCAAGACAGTTATAGCACTATGATATAGCATGGCCTTAGTTCATTTAACAGGCCAACACATAAAGATCTTGGCAAAAAGACAACATGACAGAAAACCATTAAGTCATCATTTACTTAAAACATATAGTTTACACACTCACACTGTGACACTGTCATCCTTTCCCGACCTAAAAGCGGAACGTTTGGTCATGAATCTAGTTCTCAACATGTGCATAATGACTGTCCTGTTACTGTAGGCAAGAAAGAAAAATGCTGGCTGTGATCCAGTCGCCACAGCTCGTTCTCTTTCAGAATATTGATTAGACAAGAAATTTCATCCATCTCTGAAAACCAAAAGGGTTTACCCTCTTTCTTTTTTTCACTATCATTCTTTTCCATTCATTCCCCTTTCTCGCTCATTCCATTTAAATGCTACTTCAGAGTTTTTATTTATGAAATTTAGGCAAAGATGACAACCCTTCGACTTTCCAATTTTGGCCATTGAGGTGTTAAAGCTCTAGTCTATTTTCCTGTCCTCATTAATC